ATTGCTGTAATTGACGGAAGCTCTTAATCGAAGCCGGGTCCAGTTTATAATACCACCTGATAGCCAATGGTCCCAAACTGTTGGGAAATATTCGGCACACGAGGGCCTCGTCCTCTGCATGTAATGTCATGGCTTGCCTATAGTAACAGATGTGATTGATGGGGTCTGATTTTCCATCATAGAGAGTGAACGACGGAGCTTTGAACTTTTTGGGCAGAACCGCCCTTGCGATCCGTCGTACAAAGAGATCATGCTGGTCTTCTTCGTCTGAACTATTTCTTCTTCGCTTATGCCTTATACGTACACTCTCTTCAGAAGAACTGGTAGCTTCAAGTGGACCCTTCTTTTTGGGCTCCGGGGATAATGAGTTAGAGTCACTGTTAGTGTCTTGTTATCGGGCTTGAGGCCGTCGACCATCTGCCCTCAGAGGTTGTTCCAGATCTTGGCGTACAGCTTGTTTGGACTTCGCTATTTCCAAGGCCAAATTCTGACGAGACGTTCGTTCTCAGCGATCATGTTCTCCAACCTCTGTTCGTTTTGCTTTACTTGCTCCATAATCGTTTGCATTGCCTCATGTGCTGATGTCGAGGGTAAACCGAAGTTCAAAGCCCTTCTTGCGGTAATATTCTCTAGGCCAAGCATATTGCTTGGAGTGGTTTCATCTTGCGGCGTAAGGTCGACAGTGACTGCTGGAGGATCTTCCATCACGCCTGCCATGGATGTTCTTGAGTATTCCTACAGACGGCGCCAATTGTGGAGAAGTGGTTTAGAAATACTCTTCTGATCCTGGGAGACGCTCGTGATCCTCAGCTAATCACCTGAAAAGGAATAAACACTCCGGTCGGGGGTGCCAAAATTAGCACTCCGACGGGTAAGTCTGTCTCTACTCTCTGAATTACTTGTATTTTAAGTTAAACGTAATGATTCTCACATACCTCTTTTTTGATGATGTTCTTCTATTTATATATTTTCTTTCTTGGGCCTCGGGATTGGGCCTACTTTCAATTTGCCATTCGGCTTCTTTTGTAGCAAATTGCTTTTCACTCGGTCCTTTGCTTAACCGGCTATTTGGCCGAATAGGGTAAGATTTGAACATGCGAGACGGGGCCGAGTGCTACATATATATTTCGACTCTCGAAGTTCAACTAGTCGGCCTCTTTATGACTCCCAATATTCGGCCCCCACACATTTGATTAAGAAATCTTCTTTAAGGATTTTTCAAAGTAATGTAATTTAGGGTTTTGATTTGTTTATAATTTGAATGTATCTTTTAAGGGTAATTTAGGGGAAAAAATATACGATGTATTGAGCATAAATTATAATCATAAATAATTTAATAGGGTATATTAAGGAATTGAGTGTACTTAATAATGTTTTGAGTGCAAATAGAATCTCCTATCTTAGTTAGGGACTAAAAAGTCTCGTTTGAAATGAATTTTTTGACTTTTATAAGAGAAAGAATATAATAATTATGAATTAAATGTAATATTTTGTTTTATTAAATTAGAAAATATATTTTATTTTTTTATGACTAAAATAACCCCAAACACAATCTAACTTAAATTGCCAAACAAAGGCATAGAGTCTATATCCCATTCTTAACTTTCCTCCTTGACTTCCTACTTGCGGGGCTATTGGGTCCACTTTTAGGCCCAATTTCTATAATTTGAACAGTTCATATTTTAAGATTTGTTGATTATATCATACCTGTAAAAAATCAAATTGATCAGATATCAGAAAGTATGTATTCAGATCATCGAATTAAAAACTATTTTTTAAAAAATTTAATAAACAGTTTTTCGAATACATACTTTTTGATATCCGATCAACTTGATTTTTTTACAAGTATAATATACTTAACAAATCTTACAATGTGAACGGTTCGGATCATCGAAATTAAGCCTAAAAGTAGGCCCAATTATCCAGCAAGTAAGAAGTCAAGGAGCGTAGGCAAGGAGGAGAGGCAAGGAGGGGATCCTGATTCCAAAATAATATGCAGAGCTCTGACCAAAAAAATTATCTAAGAAGTGTATAAGATGGTGGAGATTTAAACTTGATGCGTTATAGGTTCCATCCCTAACAAATTTGGTCCACACATGTTAAATAATGAGTATTTAAAATAAATAAAATTGAAAAAAAAAGAGAGTGTATAATAAGACTAAAATAATCTTACTATGCATGACCTTTGATTAAAAGAAAAAGATTTATGAATATTCGTTTAAGTCTTGTTTGAGAATAAATTATTTTAATAATTTTTTAATTTTTTATAAAAGATGTGCAAAAAAGTAAAGAGAGTGATGTGACAACTAATAGTAATTTTTTGACTAAAATATATAATTGCCAAACGAAACTTAAGTATTCAACACAGCATCGTTGTACTGGTGTAAAGAATCTCACAAATGCATGAATGTTATGTGAGATGTTGAATTAAAAGGAACACTTTATTCATACATAAAATTTATATAATATTTTTTTATAAGAATGATGTGGCAATATTATTATAAACAAATTTTTTTATATATTATTTTATTTTAAAGTGAAAGGTATACAATACGGAAATTATATATAAATTTTTTATTTGTATAATATTACTCTAAATCAAATAAAAAATAAATTTGATACAAATCTTAGCATTACTCTTACTTTTATTACTTTTAATAATTAATATCAACCTTGCACAAATTTAAGAAAAAAAAAATAGTGAGAAACGAGGTTTAAAAAGAGTGAGGAATTCGACTTTTTTAAATGCAGTTTTCTAATATTTTTGTCCAAAGAATTATTATGAATAGTTTAAACAAAACAATTGTAAAAGCACTATTTATTTTGATAATTTTTATGTAAAAATTAGCGTTAAACAATTTTAATGCTTCATTCATTGGTACATGTAACACTACTGTAATATAATATTAGAGATATATACTTGACATTATTATCATTATTAGTATTTAGATTTGCGGACCTCACACTTATGTGATACATTTGATTATTTATTTGATAGAAAATTTGTGACTTATAACATTTCAATGGTGTTACATGTACCAATTGGTATATCAACTAATGTACTAACATATCTCATGTCATTATTATTGATCCCACCTATTATACAAATTATAAATACTCAAAACTTTTGAAATTATACCACATCATCTATTAGTACACTAATTAATATATCTATTAGTGTATATAGGCCCTGTTTGGTAGAGCTGTAGGAAAGTACTTATAGCTTATGCCTAAACAACTTATACCTTATAACTATGAGGATAAGCTGATTTCTGACTTATACATTAAGCATCTCCTGCCCCACTCAAAGAATAAGCTGATTTCTGACTTTCAAAAAGTTATAAGCTATAAGCTATAAGTTAAACCAAACACATCAAAATAGTTTAAATTAAACTGAAAGCTGAAATAAGCAGCTTTTAAGCTGCACCAAACAGGCACATAACATTTTTCATAACCTTTTCCATTTTAGATAGCATATTCACTTGACATAATTAAGAGTAAAATATACATGGAAAAGGAACTTTGCGTGTGACTTCAAGAAAAAATTAATGGCAAATCCCTATTAATGTGGACAGTTGTCTATGAGATACAAATTCTTAATTGAAAAGTTGGTTTAATCAAAATGCAATTTTGAACATAATTCAAATGGGAAAATTATAAAATACTTTTGAATAGTGGCATTCAAATCGCTACATAAACTAATGCTCTGTTTGTTTCAGTTATGCAATTTTTAGTATTTGGTATAATGAAAAATGAAAGTTAATAGAACATATTTTTATATGATCAATGAAAAACACATCTATTTAGGCAGAAAATATTTTCTATTTTTATAAAGGAAAAAATATTTTCTGAACCACTACTACTCCCCTTTCCCATTGTCACCATCATCGCTATCACCACCGTCCCACCACCTCCGCCACTGTGCTCACCACCACTAAAAAAATTATTAGCACATTAATTTCAATGATGCAACTAAACATAACGAAATATTTTCTTAAACTACGTTGTCTGGAAAAGAAAAAAAAAATTGTATAAATGATTTTGCTACAAGATATTTTTCATCTAAACAAACTGAGTGTACGTGGCATTATTTATCTCCTAATTATCTAACAAAAGTGATTAACATGTTTTAGTTGTAAAATTATTTGTCCCCTAACTTATTAATTCACTGATATCTTAGTTTAAAAAAAAAAAAAGAAGATAAATTATACTAAATTTTCTTGAGAATTAAAGAAAATACATTAAATTTTATAATTTTGATATAATTATACCAATCTTTTTCACCACCACTAAAAAAATTATTAGCACATTAATTTCAATGATGCAACTAAACATAACGAAATATTTTCTTAAACTACGTTGTCTGGAAAAGAAAAAAAAAATTGTATAAATGATTTTGCTACAAGATATTTTTCATCTAAACAAACTGAGTGTACGTGGCATTATTTATCTCCTAATTATCTAACAAAAGTGATTAACATATTTTAGTTGTAAAATTATTTGTCTCCTAACTTATTAATTCACTGATATCTTAGTTTAAAAAAAAAAAAAAAAGAAGCTAAATTATACTAAATTTTCTTGAGAATTAAAGAAAATACATTAAATTTTATAATTTTGATATAATTATACCAATCTTTTTATTAGTAAGACTAAATAGTATATTATTTATTTCGTTATTAACTAAGACATAAATTGATCTATGATAAACAGATAAATAAATAAAATGAAATATATATTTTAATATAAAAGAAATGACTACACAACTTTTTCATTTATATCATTAATTAAGAAAGAGAGTTCAGCATTATATTAATTAAAAAATTAATATAATTATATAAAAATGGTGAGATTTATTATATATATTTTTTTTTAAATCTCAGAGATTTTTTTATTTAAAAAAAAGGGGAAAAAAAATATTTGCATGAGGAACCCTCGCGACACAAATGACAGATACAATGAACCTGGACATACCCATTCCGGGCCTATAAAGTCATAGCAAGAGTCGTACTTTAGATGGCAAGCTAGCCACAAAAAACCGTCACTTCCAATTAACCAACGAACCACATCTCTGTTGCTTCTTTCCTCTGCAAACAAACCCAACCCCTTTCTTTCCCCTTTTTATATTTATATTAATTCTCGGAATCAACTAAAATGGCTCCGACTATAGCTGTGGCACCCAAGCCCCAACGCTTTTTGGAGGCGGCGGCGGCGGAGGAGGTGTTGAGGAAGAGGAACGAGGAGTTGGAGAGAGAATTGAAGAGGAGTATGGAGAGAGAAGAGAAGATGAAGCAAGAGCTCCAGAGAACTTGGGAGAGGCTTAGAGTCGCCGAGGAAGCCGAGGAGCGCCTCTGCTCTCAACTCGGCGAGCTCGAAGCCGAAGCCGTCGATCAGGCTCGAGCCTATCGATCTCGCATTTTCTCATTGATGGATCAGCTCTCCGCCGCTCAGAAGCTCCTCAGCTCTTCTGATTCCCTTTCTCAATGACCCATCATATATATATGTATGTATGTATGTATGTATATTAGTCATGTAAAATTTCCTATGATGATTGTGTGTTATAAAGGATCATGAATCATGGGTTTTGATTTAGATAAAAAAAAAAAAAAAAACTACTAGGATGGGTTTTGGTTTTGTTTGTTATGTGTATGGTTGTGCTGTCCATGTAAAAAAAAAAAAAAAAAAAAAAAACTACTAGGATGGGTTTTGGTTTTGTTTGTTATGTGTATGGTTGTGCTGTCCATGTAATATTTTCCTTTTCCAATGCATCATTTGAATTTTGAATAAGTCCTGGAATTCAGGGGAAGTGTGGTTTTGTGAGTTTGTTTGTCCATCTTGATCATGCGTGAAAACTTGTTTTTGTCAAGATTCCGTTTGTCAAATATATATTTTAATTAAAAAATTATTATATTATTATTATTTTATAAAAACTTATTAAAATATTTTATTTTCAGGCGAGGTTTAAGTCTCATTTTCATCGCTTGATATTTGTGTATTTTTTTTCATTAAGATTTGATTTGGTATGTTTGAAAAAAAGTTAAAAAGTCAAAAAGTCATCATTTTATTTAAGTCACATCATCTTATTTAAATTTTATCACCTCTCTAACACATCATAAACCCAATTCAAATTTAACCCATATTTTATAAAAAAAATTAAAAAATACACTTATTTAAACTATTCCTAAATATGTCTATGTCAATCAGACTTGTTATCAGTAACCATTATTAAAGTTGTGAGATGTGGGTTTCATTTGCATCACTTGATGTATGGGTATTTTTTTCCATTAATTATGTATATGTCAATCAGACTTGTTATCAGTAACCATCTTTGAAGTTGTGAGATGGGGATTTCGGTCGGGTGGGTAACTTAAAAGTTTTAATTTGAATTTAAAACAAAAAAAAAAAAAGCAAAAATATCACATCATAAATGGAGTTCAATTCATTAAAACTGTTCTAAAATTTTACGTTTAGAACTCACAATCTTTTTTAAAATTCAGGAGAAGTGTGGTTTTGTGAGTAGGGTGGATGAGATTTGTTTGTTCATCTTGATCATGCATGGAAACTTGTTTTTGTTCATCGTGATTGATTATGGGGGAATTATTTGATAGTGGAGTAGATATAGACCTTATTTGTCATTTTTTAAAAAAAATTAAAAAGTCATTATTTTATTTAAGTCTCATTATCTTATTTAAATCATATCACATCTCTATCGTATCATTTTAAATCTAACTCATATCCCACTTATATTTTATAAAAAGTCAAAAAGTATAATTATTTAAAATATCACAAACAATCCTATTGAGTTGTAAATGATTCTTAAGAATAAGATTTTATTTGTTAATTATATATTTTAATAAAAATATTATTATTCATATTATTTTTTATATATTTTTTTATAAAATATTAAAAAATTATTAAAATATTCTATTTTCAAATAAGCCTAAATCTTACGTGCACGGCTTGATGTTTGTGTATTTTTTTCCATTAATTATGTATATCTCAATCAGACTTGCTATCAGTACCATCAATAAAGTTGTCAGATGTGTTCGTGGTATGAATCTGAATCCTCTCCTTTTAACTTTTCTACTTAATTTCTTACTTGCCGGGCTTTTGAGCCTATTTTTAGATCCAATTTCGATAATTCGAGCCGTTCATATTTTAAAATTTGTTAAGTATATTATACCTATAAAAAATCAAGTTGATCGGATATCAGAAAGTATATGTTCGGAAAACTATTTATTAAATTTTTTTAAAAAATAGTTTTTAATTAGATGATTCGAACACATAATTTCTGATATCCGATTAATTTCATTTTTTACAGGTATGATATATTTAATAAATCTTAAAATGTGAACGGTTCGTATTATCAAAAATTTAGGCCCAATAACCCAACAAGTAGAAAGTCAAGAAAAAAAGGCAAGATGATTTCGTATGCTAACCACTTAAATGGAAGTCCATTTTTTTAAAAAATTTTATTTTTAAATGCAGGTTTTAATTATTGAGAACTCTATAAAAATGGTATGCAATTTAATACCCAATGCCAAATTAATTGGGTATATGATATTGGGAAAACTACTTGTTCATTTTTGTTTGGATAAATTATAAATGTAGCTATAAATATTTTATATATTTATTTGGCTTTCTCAAGTTTTGAAAAAAAAAAAAAATGGCACCTCATACCATGAGATATCAAATCTTATAAAAAAATTCACCCCGTCATGGTGTTGACATCAACCAATAAAAAAAAATAATAAATTTCAATAAAGTCTTTATTTAGGAAGAATTGTTTCAGCCTGACTTTTGATATTAAAAATTTTTTGTCTGAGATGAATTTTTGACTTTTATGTAATTTTGTGAAAGAAAAAAATAAAATAATTATTATTTAAAATTGATATTTTATCTTATTAATTTTTTAATCTATTTTTATATTTTAATGAATTAAATTAATTTCAACCATCTTACCAAATCGGCCAAAATCTGGTCCTCTATGTATAGGAATTGGGATCACTGCTGTGGTGTCTCAATTTGAGATGTATTATGGGCTTATTTTTATGATCTGAATCATTCATTTTATAGGGTTTGTTGAGTACTTCATGCCTACCAAAACTCATATTAATCGAATATCAATAACTATATAATCGATAACTAAAAAAATAAACAATCAGTTTTTCTTTTGAAAAATAGCATAAAAAAATATGATATTCGATCATATAGTTATTGATATCTGATTTATATTTTTTTTGGTAGATATGAAGTACTTAACAAATCCTATAAAATGAATAGTTCATATTATAAAAATAAATCCATAATACACCTCAAATTGAGACACAACCGTCATTATTTTGCCTTTAGCACAACCACAGACCTACCGACACTCCTCTAACATATTAATTAATGGACCAGGCATTAATTATTTCGGATCCACTATAAATTATTTCATTCTTTTAATATTTCTTAATAAATTATTTATATAAAAACATTTACTCGAACATCAAAAAGTATATAATTGGGAACATATTTGTTTTTTTAAAAAATAGATAATAAATATGATTTTAAATTATTTATTTTTTTAAAGATAAATATCATCATAATATAAAACAATCGATATCCAATAAATTTAATTTTTTATATGAATAATTTACTTAATGACCTTTAGAAGATTAATAATTTAAATCACTGTGGTGAATTCACAATCCCCTCAGCTGAACCCTCCTATCCAATTGTTGGACTAGAGGAAAATTTCCTTAATCAAAGTTATGCATATATTTAAGAACAATAATAATCTACTTGGGTTGAAAGGGAGTCCATAACCCTTTCAAATGAACCTTCCAGTCTGATTGTTGGATTAGAGGAAAACATATTCTTGAATTAAGGTTCTGCCATATATTTAGGAACATTTAATTCTACAATCACCATATTTGTGTATGATAAAAAAAAATCATCTTATGGTTTGTGTTACTATTAAATTAATAATAAAAATGAGTGGTGGTGAAATGATACAATAATGATACATAAAATATTGAACAGTTTATAATATATAAAAACAACTTACCATTATAGTAGAATTATTGATTTAAGAAACCTATTAAAAACTTCATTTATATTGAAATGAGCAATATTAGAAATCATAAAAAAAAATATTATGAAATATTTTATGAAATTTTTTCATCATTTAATTAGTATATGATATTTTATTAAATACATAATTTAAGAATAAAAAAATTTTACAAAATATTTTATAATAATTTAAAAATATTACACACACACATATATAATTTAAAAATATTATACTTGACATATTTAAAATAAGTTAAAAAGTCAAAAAGTCATTATTCTATTTAAGTCACATCATCTTATTTAAATCACATCACCTCTCTACTACATCACTGCAAACCCAATCCATATTTTATAAAAAGTCAAAAAATACACTTATTTAGAACATCCCAAACAACCCCTTAATACATTACACATTTTACACATTTAATAATAAATTTTTGAATAAAATAGAATTTAAAAAGAATAAAAAAAGCATATACATAGAAAGAATAATACATATTGTTTGTGAGTTATTGTGTGTATCTATATATATTATATAAGCAAAAGTGAATTTCTAACCCACAAGTCTTATGGTAGTTCCAATATTTAATCTTAATTTTTTAATTTTTTGATTTAAAAAAAAAAAACTTTAACTTTTATTAACTTCCCTCAACCTTCAATCCTTTTGGAAGATTTGGTCAAAATCCCCTCATAATAAAACTTTAATGCATTTAAAATAAACATAAAAAAAGGGATATCTACTGGCTAGTCCCATTAAATGAAATTAATTACTCGTAAATCCTGTTAACTTTTTAAATACACCATTAACTCCTCAATTGTCCATATTACCCTCATTCACTACAACAAAATTGAATTTTCACAGCTTGCAATGCATGCCGTAAAAACTCTTTCATGGCATGCACACAAATGCCGTTATATGACATGCCGTGAAAAGTTGAGCATCATTTACGGCATACAGGTAAAGTTGTAAAAGGTAATAAATTAAACATTAATGACATACTTTGTATGTCGTAAAGAATTTTTTACAACATTTTTTACATGCCATAAATCATTATATTTTTCATGGCGTAATTTTGCATGCCGTAAAAAGTTATTTTAATATACTTATAGCATACTTTGTATGCCATATATAATCTTTTATGACATTTTTTTGCATGCCATAAATCAATAGACTTTTTACGACATAATTTTGTATACCGTAAAAAGTTATTTTTAATATATTTAAGACATACTTTGTATGCCGTATATAATATTTTATGACATTTTCTTGCATGCTATAAATCATTACACTTTTCACGGCATAATTTTGCATGCCATAGAAAGTTAACCTTGCCTAGTCGTATGCACCTCCAAACAAAGGCAGTAACTTATAAAGTGTAGCAACTTGTGAACAAATCAAGTAGAAGCAGCAATTATGAATTAAAGAAAAAAACTAACATCCATACACTAAACAACCTGCATACTAGCTTCCATCCTCAACTTCTATCATATCAAGCTAATAACAACCTCACAAACGTACAAACTAAGAAAAGTATATGGTTCATTAATTTC